CAGGGCCACCTGTACCAGGCCACTGCACCACGCAGTCCACCTTTACATGTGAGAAGCAAGGAGTGAGGGGATGAGGATTGAATAGGGGTGAGGCCTTTGAGAAAGGGGTGGAACCTTGAGGGCAGGGCCATGGGAAAGAATTGGGGAGCATCCAGCTCTTCTACAAGTTTTAAATATGAAATTGGGAAATCTACATTAAATAAATTGGGATTATTTAATTTAGTCCATGAGGAAGATAAAGTTCACTTGATATCAATGCCACTTAGATTCTAGTCACTCTCTTTGAAATCTATCTATATATTTTACAATGCATGTCTGTCCGTCTGTCCATCAATGAGTCCATTTGTTCAAGAACTCCTCCTAAATGATAAGATCTAGGACAACCAAATTTGGTATGCAGCTTTCTCTTATCCTAACTTAAAGCAAGGTCAGAGTGTGTTTGTGCCAGGGTGATACTATATGCCTGGCATTGGACTGTTTCTCACAAAATGTAAAGGGAGGGGCCTGGTACGAGGAAAAGTTATTTACTGTGGAATGACCACAGGACGAAGCAAGGACCCCAGCCAGAAGCCACTGGCTGTGTACAGCCACTGCCTTCCTGGGCCAGATCTGGGGAGTGCTAATGGGCAGCCTGAACAGCCCTCTCAACCCTCTGGACAGTGCTGGGGCGAAGCTTCCTCTAGCTGGCACCGCAAAGAAGCTGGCAGCCAGGGTGTGCAGCCTCACTCGTGCCCAGGATGGACCCAGGCAATGCTGGGTAGTCTTCTAGTATATGCATACTACTGGGCTACGTCTACACTGGCCACAATTTCCGGAAAAGCCATGCAAATCAGGTAAGTCAGGATAGGGAAATCCGTGGGGGATTTAAATATCCCCTGCGGATTTAAATAAACATGTCCACCGCTTTTTTTCCGGCTTGGGGAAAAGCCGGAAAAAAAGCGTCTAGACTGGTGCGATCCTCCGGAATAAAGCCCTTTTCTGGAGGATCTCTTATCCTTCGAAGTAGGAATAAGAGATCTTCCGGAAAAGGGCTTTATTCCGGAGGATCGCGCCAGTCTAGACGCTTTTTTTCTGGCTTTTCCCCAAGCTGGAAAAAAAGCGGCGGACATGTATATTTAAATCCGCGGGGGATATTTAAATCCCCCGCGGATTTCCCTATCCTGACTTACCTGATTTGTATGGCTTTTCCGGAAATTGTGGCCAGTGTAGACGTAGCCTTATTGTTTCACTCCACATTATTTCAAAATATGTCTCAGAGATGAATGGTAGGAGTCAGTGAACCTGATCTTGTGAGGTGTTATGTGCTACCTCAGAGTTGCTAAGCATCCTCAACTCCTGTAGAGTTCATAGGGTGATTACAGTGCTAATCTTTTATTGTACACTTGGAATTGGATGTAGTGTGACCACAGGTGAGTAATAAAGGAGAGTATGAATGGGATGTAAATGATATTGAAATATTCATTTCAAGTAATGTTAACCTTTACATTTTTATGCTTTCATTTTAAGTTGGAATCTTTAGAGATAATTAACTTGATTACCTTTCACTTAACTAATGTAAAGCAGGGATGAATACATTGAAGTCAGTGGTCTGGATACTCATTGGTATAAATCAGCATTAATTATAAAATGCTGATTGAAACCTTCTGGGAATACTGTCCATTGGATGTAAACAATGAGACAACAATGAAATGCAACCAGTGTTCAAGCTCAAGTACAGTATCTCTTTTTTTTATTATTCTTACAAAATCCTCAAATATATATATTCATTTGTTAATGTAAGATGTTTTAACAAGTTCACATTGGTATAAATCAGCATTAATTATAAAATGCTGATTGAAACCTTCTGGGAATACTGTCCATTGGATGTAAACAATGAGACAACAATGAAATGCAACCAGTGTTCAAGCTCAAGTACAGTATCTCTTTTTTTTATTATTCTTACAAAATCCTCAAATATATATATTCATTTGTTAATGTAAGATGTTTTAACAAGTTTCTTAACAAGATTTTTATAAATAAGTAGTTCAACTATGTCTATTAAATAGTAATATTAACAGTCATTAGTTTTTAAAACTTGTTAACATGGTCAGTAAGATTATTAATATATTTCATTATATAAAATGGGAGGGAGAGTGTCCAACAGCTGGAGCCCTTCTGCCTAGGGCTTCTTTATGCCTCGTGAAACGAGGTTTACAGGAGCGGTCGACAAAGGCTTCCCTGGTCGACCGATCCGCGTCTATACTGCCGCGCTGTGCCGGATCAGCTGATTGTCAACACAGCGTGGCGGCCATTTTTATTTTAATGTAGCAGGAATTATTTAAATCCCCGCTTCATTGACTATGTCGGGTAAACTACTTTACATGGCTCCGTCGATAGAGCCGTGTAGTCTAGACACACCCTTAGTGTGATACTTGTTTTAGTGATCGGCAGTGAGTGTGCCATGCCTTCAGCTTCACTTAGAGCTACCAGGCTGCATATTACAAAATTCTATAGTTCTTCCTTATATTTTAGCTCATATTTATTATTAATAATATTTTGATAGTACTTAAGCACCCCAATCAGGGGTCAGAACCACTTTTTACTAGGTGCTGAGCAAGCAAATTACAGAAATGCAAACTGTCCTGAATTACACAATGGTAAAGATATAGATAATATGTGCCTAGTGAATAAAGTAACACTGCAACGTAGGTAGGCAAAGAAGAGAAGGTAATAGTAAAGGGATTTGTGCTTGCATAAATTAATAGTTCCATAGTTTGAGTAGTCATATGTGGTTGCTAACAATCTACAATCTATTTTTGCTAAATTGTATTCTGTTACATATTCTGTTATAAAACAATTACATGACCATAGACCTATACTTCTAACATTCAAGGCTTTAGAAATGCTCACATGTCAGTGGCAATCTATATTCCCGACAGAGTGAGTCCAACCTTGCAAAAAGCTGAAAGCATCTTTCTCTCACACTGAGCTATCACTGTAATGGTTGCTTTGCATGCTTATCTCTGGTTGTAGACAGAGCTGATTGGAACATTGGGCACTCTTTGCTGTTCACTTAACCATGACAGAAGGAAATTCCCTATGATAATGTGAGCAGAGGAGAGAGGAAGTATACTGCTGTCCCCACATCCATGAAGGAGAAGAGAGAGAGAGGGAGTATGGCATTTCCTAAACTTTCCTAGCAGTTATTAGAGGGGAGGGATTGAGCTACCCACAAAGGATTTGTGCCTGGAAACTTTTGGAGGATCCATCTTTACTTTCATTATTTGTTTCATAGATTTGGCTAGTGTATATACAGTTAAAAAATAAATCCTACTTTTATTTTTATCTTGTACTGAATTATAGTTCGATGATTTTTTTAATTGAAGAACATAGTTAACATAAAACACATCTGTCACAGATGAAAAACACTCTGCATGTGCAAAGAGTATAATCAGTTCATTTTTATGGATCTCCCGTTCTCCAGAGAATCTTACAAATGCACGATATTCCATTTTGTGTTTGTATCTTGGAGTTAACTGAAAGATGCTTAAAATCACAATTAGGAAGAGAGATCCCTGCTGACTACTTGTTAAAAAGGACCATAATGCTTTGCCCATTGCAGAAGATCCATGAAATATTGAATGCTCAATAATGTAACACAACTACATTTATTCCATGCGTGTTTATAAATAACTGATGGACAGGATGAAGCTTACAGTTTTGGGGGGAAACCATGTCCTCTCGATTCCACTGTTTTGGCAAGTCCTATATTTTTGTCAGTGGATGACTCCTCTGACCTGGAGGAACTAGAATAGAGAAATTTGGTAACTGGACTGATGGCAGTGAAGAGACTTACTGAGACATTGTTAATATATTGCTTCTGAAACCAAAGCAGAATGTTTTGCATACTTGTCCCATATGGCTTCCTGTGAGAAGATCACATTTAGATTGGGGAACAGACGTTACTTATTTGAGGACATTTGGAAACTTTTTATGTTTTATCTTCATGAAGCAAATGTTGCTTTTTAGACATACTGGATATTGTCTTAAGCTTGTGTAAATTTGGACTAACCGTGTATTATGTGATGGATCCAGAAGATTTACACAATCCATCAAAATGATGGAGAATAAAGAAGTTGTGATGGCTATAAATGAGCAAATAATGGCAATTAATTAAACATTCAGAAAAAATACCTTATAAAGCCTAACTGCCTTTTTTGTGTACCCATCTTGAATATGGCAGGATTACAAAGTTAGTATTTCCATGAAGATACATTGTTCTTGAATACATTTTTTAAAACTGTTCTTGAACAATGTCTTGGGAACCTGCTTTCTTTCAGCATTCAGCATGAATGTCTTTATATTGCATCATTTATCTCATCAACATATTGATCACAGCACTTCAAGGAAACCATTAGTGCTTCATTTTCTTTATGTCTAACCTGTAGTATAATAGTGATACTTAAGAGCCAGCACTTTCACAGTGCTTTGCATGTTCACAGTATTGTACAAAGAGTATCCCAGGATATTGCTACTTTTCAGAATTTTTGTTCTATAAAATCTGTTTTTTTGGTGAGAATCCCATCTAGATCTTGTTAATCTAAGACAATTGATATTATTAGTGACCCCACTGCATCATTTAATTCATCATTTTGGGGACAGAAAGCTGTGTTTGTTGCTGATACTTGGAAGAGTCATATTGTTTCATGTTCCATGAGGAATTATTTGTAATGAAAACAACTAAGGATATGTAGGACACAGATTTTAGCATATTTGTCCTTTCATTTGCCATAAAATCAACCTTATACTGGACTTTGTGCACTTGATTTAAATTGTCCTTATGCTGGTAAATAGTATGCAAATTGTTATAACTGTGTTCATAATATAGTTAACTTATGAAATAATGCTTGGAGAGAAGAGGATTCTCTCTGCTCAGGTGCAAAATCCATGCTATAGGATTAGGTTAGCTAAACCCTGCTCACATCCCGGTAAGCAGACATATATTTTTGTATTTTTTGTAGGTGGATTCAGTGCAGACTACGCAGCCCCCTGGCCACACTGAGGAATCGTGTAAAATGAATGTATGTGCTCGTAAGTGAAACATTTATAAATAAAGCTCCAACTTTAATGTATGTTGGATCATAAAAGATGTAAATCCTGCTTACTGTCATATTAAGAAATCGATTCCCAGGGGGCAGGGTGACTGCAGAACTAAGAAGATGTTCAAAACAAAGCTCTTTTAAAAAAATAAAAATAAAAATCAAGAAAACTTCAGAATCATTCTAAACAAATTAACATTGTGCAAACAAGAATTTCAAATTACCTCTTGGATGTATTTGGGAAGGCACTGAGCTGATTCAAGTTTCCAAACAGAACAAAAGAAGGGATGTGAGAAAGGTTTTGTAAGCAGAAATCATCATCCATGGAAGAACAGGATCAAATACCTTCTTTCATAGGAGGACAAGACCTATTCCCCTTCAATCTGTGTTTGACAGGACTGAAATTTTGAAACTGAATTTGATCTGATTATTGCTTTGGTTAATAACTAGGAGAGGAGTGTGGATGGGATTGAATTTTCAGTGCTTGAAGTTTAATTAATCAATTATGATATGTAGAGAAAAAAAACCTTGAGCATGTGCTAGATCAACAAAGAACATGGAAACTATACCTCAAAATTGAATTCCTGGAAAACTAGACACAGTCCCATCATTTAGAAATCTTGGGCTACTTGAGGAGGTGAGAAGACCCAGACTCTGGATTTTATTGAAAAAATGACTTAATGAGGCATTCAAAGTAAATATGCAGAAGAAACCAAAATGTGTTAAATGGTCCTATCACAGAACTCAGAAATCAGCCATTAATATGTGTATATACGTTTTGTACGTTAATTGATAAACATAGGTTAATCCAAATGGATAAGAAAGTCTAAAGTATTGAATATGAAAGACCTCGCCTTGATTTCAATAACTGCACAAAGAAAGGCTTTTCATTTTGATTAAATGGAAACTGCATGATAGGGCAATCCCTTTTGGATTTCTATTCCCTATTAAGATAAATATATCATATACAAACAAAGACTATATTTTTGCGTAGCCAAGAGATTTTAAAAAATATTGGGATACCACCAAGTTAGCACATTGGTTTTAGAGGATAAAGAGGCTGAATACTCTGGTTCTAAATAATATGAAATAATATGTCATTCATATACCTCATCTTCATCATAAATAACAGAAAACAGAGACGTATGAAGTATTAATGAATGTTTCAAAATGTTTCTCTGCTTAATTCTAACAATAAATGCTACAAATGGTCTATTTCTTGCTTTCAGAATATGCCTTTTTATATTGAATTGCAATATAACACTTTTCCTTTTGATTGTTATGCATTTGCCTCCAAATTATGTCATCCTTTGTGTTTGTCTTTTAGGAACTGGTGGTCTGCCTCTTTCTCCTCTTATGGTAGTCAATTTCAAATGGTAGAACTTATGATTTGGTAGAGGTTTTGACCTCTTTATTGTATTAAAAACATATTATCAAACTTCAAAGTCTGTACACTTCTACTGTATTGATTTTTTTTCTGTGAGCAAAATCAATAGGCAAAATAAAAAATCAATTTGTTCATTTTTTAATTGATTCATATTTTTATAAACATATTTTGTTTATTTAACCTTGCAGAGATTATTTTTTTGGTGAACTTATTGGTTCGGAAACACATCAAGAGCTTCAAGTAATGCTGAATAAAACATGCTGATGCAAATAAGTGAATTACAAAGGGAAATACATGGTTCTTTTAGCTGGAGACAGGAAAGATACATGCTGAGGACCTGCGACTAGTTCTGATTCCTGATAAAGCACCGTAAATCAGGAATAACTCTGACGATCCCAATGGAATTATGCTTGATTTACACCACCTTACCTGAGATCAGAATTTGATCTGGGGTGTTTATTGCGGTTCTATTTTTCTAGTCTTAATTTTCTGCTCAGGAGCAATTACCAGCAGAGGAGTTTTGAAGAAATATTGTACAACTACTGTAATTTTCAGATTCACAGTGCTTAGCAGCCAAGTGCCTCACAAGGCATAAAACCATTTTTATTGTTGCCTCCTGCTACCACTCCAATGGGGAAAGGTCAGCAAAACAGTGGGAGGCCAAATGAAGGAAGATTTTTTTCCCTGTAAGACATCAACTTGCAAGACACTGTGAATTTCAGAATTACAAGTGATATAGCTTTTTTACAACTGCTCCTTTCCTTCTTGCCTCCTACTGCTGTTTCATTGTTGGATAATGTCTTTTTTCTGTCAGAATGAGCAAGCAAGAGCTTATTTGTGACAAGCGAAATTCCACTTTCTACCTTGTATTGTTGCAGATGGAAGAAAAAGGAGACTGGTTCATACCCATCTCATTTTCTAGCTTTTGAAGGTTTCGGTTAGGGCTTTAAAACTAAATCCAACATGCTTTGTAACATGAGTAAATCAGTTGATGCCAATGGGAACAGGATGTGGCTATATATGCCATTTTATTTGTAAATCTGTTTTCCCTCAGTCCATCCCATTAAGAAAAAATAAGTGTTACTAAGCAGGTTGTCAGAGAAGGTGTGATACACCATTGCTACAGACATTTAAAAACAGGTTAGATAAGCCATGAGTGGGAATGATATTAGTTATGTTTGGTGGGGAAGTCAGGTTGGATAGCACAAGATTTCTTTCTTAACCTTCTAGCTATGATTCTATGGACCGTATACATGCCCTCATTCCACAGAGAGAATACCATTCATGTAACTGGCAACTCTGTGCATGAATCAAGAAAAGAATATGGCCTTAAGTCTAATAGTCACTTTGCCTAGTCATCCATCAAATCTAAACTAAGGGGTTAAATGAGACATTCTAACGTAGGAATGAACAATGTAATTTAATTCAAATATATTATTTGTGTGAAAGTTAATTAGGATCTGAAATTCTCCCATTGATTTTTATCTGGTGTTTTAAAAAGTCTCTGTTCCAAAATTTATTGAAAACTACATTGTAGTACGGAGGAATGCACATATGCATGAAGATTTGGTTCAGCCACTCATCACTTTCTACATTTAATGATAATCCATGTTTCAATTCAGCACTTATTATACTTTGGAAATCATAAGGTGTACTATGTTTTGCTGATTTAGTAAAGAATAGCTTTTCAATCTCTCATGCAGGAGCTACATTTATGTGGAATATACGGATATATATACTTGATATTATATACTTGACACTGATATTATATTTGTCTTTTGTCATTGTACTAGGGAACATTTTCATTACATGAATAACAATTTACAGTTTCTACACAATTCTAAATCATAGAGGGTAACTTGAAAATATGAAAAGTCCCTAAAAATTTACCACATTAATAGTACAGTACTGTACTTGATGAATACCTCAAATTACTCTGTGCCAATCTACCAACATGCCTACCACATTTTTGTGTTTAAAATTAAGCCATTTATTTCAGTTAGAACAGATCAGAAACTACCTGAAATCACAATCAAATTTCTGTTCTCCATCATACATTGGTTTATGATTCCAGCATTGGGCTTTCCTTTGATCTGCAATTCCCAGAGACAGAACCTGACCTATCAATCTCAGGAAATGCATTTTGCTACATTCGGTTCAGGAAATTTCAACTCATATTTTGGACCTTCTGTAGTCTTGAGCTTCAGAACACAAGGAAACAAGTTTTTAGGTTTGGCTCAAAATTTCTTTTATTTAAGCATTTTTTCCTGCAACAGATTACTTTTCTGTTTAAAACACCCTCAATTTAACTTAACACCCACCATAAGGAATGCCAAATTTTAGCTACCTGAAAGGATGAAAAAAAAGTTTTATGAAACTTATGCCATTAGTTGTTTACCTTTAACCTCAAAAAATAAAAATATATGATGCTAGGAAATATAGCTTGTTTTATATTCTAATAATATAAATAATAACCAGTTACCATATCACTTTTCATTTCAAAGTGCTTGAAAATGTTGACTGCTTAATCTTCAGAACAATTATATGATGCAGAGAAGTATTTCATATGGGGAAAATGAGTCAGTGGTGTTCAGTATTTTCTCTAAAGTCAGACAGGAAATCAATGTCAGAGCTGAAATTAGTAGTATCTGGGCACTCTTGTACACAAACCATGCCTCTGATGAAGCTGATAAAGCACAACATACTGGTAGTTACTAAAGGCCAAGAACACAACTGTTAATGAAACATAGACTTCAAATTGAAAAATTGCCACACATCAATATAAACTATGTTTATGATAAAACTGGATAGAACCCACTCTGTAGCTCTTTTGTGAACTGAAACTGCATCTCTCACCTCCACCCCCAAAACCATATTTATTGTGGAACATGTTTTCTTGAAAGATGTTCTGTTCCTGTGTACAATAGTAAGTTCCACTAGCATAGGATGTCTCCCACCACTATTCTTATCTCATGTGTTCCCAAACGTGTGCAAATGTTCAGGGGAAGGAGGTCAAAAGAAACAGTTTCCACTGCAAGGAGCTATGTTCTATCTAATTGAAATCTAAAGAACAAATACCTTAAACTTTGTACTCCATGTATATAGAAGGAACATATTCTGAACTGGGCAGTAAGGAAGGGTGTCATTTCGAGAGGGTAGGGAGACAGCAGCTGTGCGCTCTGGGATGCAGCTAGCTTTTCATCCCATTCTCTGAATACAAAGGGAGTGAGGGGAAAGTGCTTGCATTCTGTACATGCCCCTCACACCTGTCTGGTGAAGGAAGCTCACCAGCCAGCTGTGAGAGGCATGCATGAAATGCAAGCACTTTCCCCTCACTCCTTTATCATCTGAGGAAAGGGATGTCCCGTGTCCTGGAGCTCATGGCTGCTGCCTCCTTCACCTCCCAAAATGGTGCCCTTGGGCAGTAGCCCTTTAAAAACTTTTACAAGAATAATGTTCCCTGTCACTTACCCTTCAGATAAACAAAGTAAACAAATGAGAAGAGATCAATAAGAATAATATCTTGATCATGAATTCTGGTAACATAGAAATAAAGTTCATTTTCAAGTCACTCTGAGTGCGTGAATTGGGAACA